GGAAGAATTATTAAATCATCCTTGCTTTGAACATTGAAGATAAGCAGGTTAAAAGTTACATTCATAAATGAAAAAATAAACTTAAAGTTAGAGGAATTACATTAGAAATGAGAATTAGGAAAAAATGCCCTCATTTTTTCAATTGCTCTTTGTGTACGCTATAAACAAGAACAATGCCGTTTAAAAAGAAACTTAATTTAACTCAATTAGTTGCAAGCTACCAAATGCATATATGACTAATATATAGGAGAAAATTACGTGTCTACCTTACCTGTCCATCTGTCTATTAAAGGTACTTGGACACAGATTTGAAGTTATTTTTTTCTGTATGATATCACGAATTATATATTTTAATAGCATTTCACACAAAAATTAATTAAAAATCTTATTTCATTTAAAAGTTATTAAAACTTTTAATTTTTTGGCGGGTTTGATTGACACATCCTTTCACTTTCACAAATTTTAACTTTATTCTTAATCCTTATGGAAAGTGGCAATCTTTTTGTGTATTAATGAAAAATATTAATACTATTATCCAGAAAATTCAGTATAGACATGTTCGAAAGCAAAATAAACACACAATGTATTGTCAGTCCGTGCAGTTGTTGTGAGCAGACTTTGGCAATTGAACGCACCCGGTTAACCAAAATACCAAACAATAACAGAGCTTTCGCCCTGTTTACAAAAACTGTGTACATAACACAAGTCTGCTCGATTTGATAAACTATGTACACAACGGAATGACGAAACTTGTGAAGGAGTTTGCCACTTTTCCTAAGGATTGAAAATAAAGTTAAAATTTGTGAAAGTTAAAGGATGTGTCAATCAAACCCGCCAGAAAATTAAAGTTTTAATAGCCATTCTCTGTAACCACTTAAACTTCGTTGCCACGCATGGTCACCGATTTTGATGAAACTTCACCCATTCTTAGTACTTGACACCAGATACATATATCAAACAAAATTTCGTTGTTATGTGTCTCGGTTGCCATGGTAACAGCCGAAAAAGTTTGAAAAAATGAGATTTTCAGCCCCTTTAAATCTTTACTGAGGCTTAATAAAAACTAGGAAAAGTCAACAAACCATTCTCACAAAAACATGAAACCTTGTTGCCACTTATACTGTAACGAAATTGTTTAGAATATATCTCCAAGTAAGTGGAACTATGGGTACATTTGGAATACATTTGAAATGCTGAAATATGCTGAAAAACACTCCGTATTCACTAACTGTAGGTGTTACATGCTCAAACTCAATCAACGACTTAAAAAAAAAACAATGAAAATGTTTAACCTTAAGTATATGGGCATAAAAAATATTATTCTATAAATAACTTTTATGGTTGCCTTGGTAACACAGTGTAACCAAGCAAAATCAGTAACTAAGATTAGGTTAATGCTACTGTCTTGAGGAAAAACATGGAAATTCAAGACTGACAAATATGCATTCTTAGGACCTTGCAAAACCAACACCATAAGAAAAATTGGGATTAATTGCTACTTTGCGGTGTTACCATGGAAACAACGTACTAGTGGTTAAAAGTGAATTATTTTTTGCTGCATTAAGAATTAAGTTGCCATTTAATCAAGAAACATATTATATGACTCACCTTGAATAGTACTTATCTGGTAGAACTGAAGTTGAATATCATATATTGATAAAACTTGACGAAGAAAACAACATTGTTGCTATGGTTACCAAGAAGGGAAAATGTTCGATTTTGTGAACTTAATATCAATATTAAACCCTGTGTGCCAGCTTCTTGCATCCAGTTAGAGAATGGATGATAGTCAAAATTAAAAGTCAGGTTAGCTGTTAATAAATATCAATCATAAAAGTTTTGGGAATCTACATTTGAGGGTACGTATCCAAGGGAACGAAATATTTTTCAGATTTTTAAGCATATTTTTTCTGCTTATTTCCATAGCAACACTCTATTTAAAGAATCCAATCTGAATTTTTTTTAATGGGAAAATAAGGACCACACCAACATCTTTAAAAATTGATCATTAGTTATGAAGAAATGTGCTTCATTAAAAGATAAGATCAGATTTAAACATACAGAGTGTAAATTTGAAGGCTCTCTGTTGTATAAAAACCTTGGCAACCATTGCCAACTAAAATGAAATATCATAATTTTTTCTTGGTTTATGTTTCAAGGCTCTTTTCTCTATTATTTGGTCACATTTCATCCTATAATTGCTTTTTATTTTTACGTGTATGACTTTATAAAATTCAATGAATATTTTTTTTTACTTTTTAATACTTTGTTACCATAGTAACGTATGTAATAGTTGATTTACCCAACCTGTTTATCATGCATTTGAGGCAACAGGCCTTCAACTTTTGGAAACAGTCGTTGCCAATTGTTTGCCTTGCCACAAATGTTAATTATGGGGCTCTAAACATGGTAAAAATTGTCAATTTTCGAACTTTAAGACATGTTGCCATGGTAACTATAACACATAGCAACCAGTTTTTGCCTGATTTCATTTTAGGGTATCAACGACTTTTATCATAGAGAGTTTGGAGAAATTCTGAGACTATGCGTGCCACAGCTCCTATATAAAATTCCAAGTCATTACAGAGAATGGCTCTTAATAACTTTTAAATGAAATAAGATTTTTAATTAATTTTTGTGTAAAATGATATTAAATTATATAATTCTTGATATTATACAGAAAAATTAACTTCAAATCTGTGTCCAAGTACCTTTAAGCTGTTCGTCTCCCTGTAAATCCAACTTTCTGTTTGTCCATCCTACTTTAATTTTTTTTACCTATTTTGGTAACGCTCTTGGAAATTTTACTGAATTTTATCAGGACAGTACAATGTAAACATGATAATTTGAAATATTTTCATCTCAGGAGGTCATGAGATTAGCGTTTCCAAACCAATTTTTGGGATTACTCTGTTAAGTCTAGTTGTAATTACTGGAAAGGAGAAGGAATGGTTTCCATACAAATTTTGCCTGTGATTTTCTAAAAAATGAAACTGGTGTAAAAGTTGAAAATTCATGCTTTTTTAAATAATTGAAATTCAATGCAGAAAAAAAAAATCATCCAAGTCATTTTTCTCACATTTGTTTTTAAATGTTCATTATGACGTCATAATTATGTGCATTTTCCCGTATTTTCTTAAAAAGTTGCAGAAGACACCAATTTTCAATGGAATTTTCTTTCAGATAACATTGTCCACAGGCATCGCCCACAAAGATCTTGAGATATTTGATTTGTTATTGAATTTTGCTCAAAATATCAAAAAATTAACGTGGGCGACGGCTGTGGACACTGTTTTCTAAAGGAAAATAATCTTTGAAATGTGCCATTTTGAGGCCTTTTCTGTTGAAAATAGAGAAATGCTTCACATTAATGACGTCATATTTGCAGAATGGTAAACCTAAATGCCATATTATTTCCTGATTTATCAGAGTCATTTATTAAACTAATATTTAAGCCAGTTTCAAAACTTTTTGATGTCATTAAATTATTAGGTCGTAATAAATCTAAAACAATACCTTCTTCTTTGGATTATCTTCCTTTATAAAATTAATACATTTCTCATCTTCTTCTTTTGTGTCTGCTAAAATTATTTGCTATAGTTAATTATACTTTTGAGAATGTTAAACAATATTATGAAACGTAAAAAGAGGCAGCACTCGAAAGCTCTTTTACAGAAGTTTTCTACATTGAAGGAGAATAAGATTGATTGAATGTTTATTGTTTGACCTCCCATTCGACAAATTTTTTAGTCATAAGGAGACTTCACTATATATATAACGGCAAATGGTTTCAAATTTTGACCTTTGCTTAGAACTCAGGTCCATTGAGCAGTGAGAGGTCTTCATCGTGCCAACTCCAGTCGTGAAACGGCGCCAGGGTTTTAAAGGTCTCACATTTTTTTTATTGACTTGGCGGAGTCTTGACCGAGGTTCGAACTCACGATCTCCCTATCATGAATCGAGCACTCTAATGACTGAGGTACCGTAAAGAGTTTGAAGGCGAATGAGACAATGTGTTTTAGTGACGAGAGAATTATAGGGAAAATGAATTTTAATGAGTAACTCGACTATCAAAAAATTTTTTTGCATTAATATGAATACAATGCAAAATTATTATCCTGATGAATCTTCATTAGCATGAAGTAGAGTAGAAAAATATCAGCCCAGTCTCTTGTTTTTCTCAACCCACTGCTCTGACTCCATATAGCTTTTTCAAAAAGAAGCGAAAAAGAATTCTGAAGTAACGATTAAAACTCATTGTTTACCGATCCGACATCTATCAATAATATGTTGATAAGAGTTATTTACAACTGGTTTATGACATTTTATCTTCATGGTAAGTAAAACTATGTAAATGCAGTAACACATGGCACCATTGCTAGCAGTATTTTATCATCTGAATGGAGACCAAGCAGTTGACACCCTGAGCGTGAGGGAGACATCTATGCACATGATATGCACTAAACCAAGCAAAGTGACTGATTGTATGATTATGACGGTTAACAACTTAAAGCTTAGGTAGTCTAACCATCATTGCAAAGTTGACAAGTTTATGTCGAAAACTGCGTTGCTTTTTCAAGCACGTAATATTGGCCGGTACTTTTATTTTGTTTTTCAGCGTCATATCCTTTCTCAAGCGTGTCAACTTTTTCTAAGGAATTTCTTATGTCTGTTGCTTTAAATGGCATCACATCTTCTTCATCAGTCAATCCTGATAAAGACGGATTCGCCTTGGCAACATCGGTTTGAAGATGACCTCTTCTTAATTCATCTGTTTCATACAAGTGGTTATACGCATGAGTTTCATCTGCTGTTGGGAGATGTTCAGAGATGTTCTGTTGTTCTTTATTTCCAATTGCATTGGAACCCGTTTGGAGATTTAGCTGAAAATTATCAGAGTGTCAATTAAGTGCTTCAACAAAAAATTCTGTATGGGTTTCTGTGGATATATATTATCATTGATATTCATAATTCCATATTGAATTCATTGTAGATTTCCATATAACTGAAGACCTATTCCCCTCATATAATTTACTTGAATAATGTTAAAGGATTTTTTGGATATTGATTTTTAAAGTGTCAAAATTGACCATACTTAATAATCAAGATTTCTTTCTTTTGATTCTCTAACTTGCAAACTTTGCTACAGTCGACTGACTAGATGTCACAAAAAAGATTTTTTTAAATTATTAAAATATTTTTAACAACAAAAGCTGACTTCTGTTAGGGATTGCATGCGTATCATAGATCATCACGATGTTTATACGTGCATTTCGTGATTGACCGATCATTGTTCGGATTTTTATTCTTGTTTGGATTCTGAGTTGATGAAAAATTCAAAGTTTATTTTGTTATATGTCTTATAAATTAAAAGATAAGGGATTAAAAAGATAATAATTTCTTTCATTTTCACTTAAGTACAGTTTAAATCAGAAATGACTATATATCAAGCCGGGACGTTTTGGAGGGAAATGGTGACGTATAAAATATCTTTTTTTCTGCTTCTCAAATTTTAAACTGAAAACTGAATTTAGTTTCAAATTGTATGAAATCAAGGATCAAAAGACATTTCATAATGTAACGCAAATTATTATTTATTAATTACAGTTTTAGAGAACAAGGTACAATTTTAATACAACAAAATGAGCCCTGTATATTTTTAAAATATCAAAGTGATATAAGAAATTAAAAATCCATTTTTTTTCTGAATCAATGCCATGCAATAAGAATACACAATATTTTTTGGTCATATGACCTCCAAAAAGCTACTTATGACGTCATAAACTTGTGCATTTGCCGTATTTTTTCGAAAAAATGTTGCAAAAGACCTCAACTTTGAATGGAATTTTCTTTCAGAAAAAAAAACATACATTGTACTCTGCATGCATTTCTTACAAAGATTTTGAGATATGTGATTGTTCAAAGCAGTTTTGATAATATGTCCAAAAATTAAAGTGGGCGATTGTGGCCGATTCCCTTTTATAAAGGATATGGAGATAACGAACAGTATTCACTATCAAAGTCCAAAGTGCATAAAACAATACAAAATAGGAGAAGAGCAAATATGACCCTCCGAAAGATCAGACGTGGGATCAGGTGCCATGGAGAAGTGAGCATCCCCTGCTGACCGATCACACCCGCCGCGTGCTCCTTATCATGATCGGGAAATCACGGAAAAATCTGTCGTCAATTCAGTGTTAAAATAATGGACCATCAATTAGTGCAAAAAATGTCAGTCAGCTTTTGTTTCAAATGAATGATAAATTGCATTTGCTGACAAGGTCAGTATATCGATCATAGAATTTACGAAATAATGACTTTGAACGAAACTGTTGATATTCTTGTTTCATCATCATCATCATATTCATCTGCTCAACTCTAGTTTAAGTCAATTTTATAACTTTTTAAGAACAAAATAATTTTAGGGCACAAAAACGCCTACACCGTACCTTACATGACCTGTATATGAGATCAATATGATTTTCAAAAAAATTAGAACTTATGAGCCTTTGAAAACATTGAATTGAACAGATATGAGCAGATATCAGTAAAAAACGTTTTATAAAAATAAATATATATCAAGAATATTAATAAAAATATATAATCTAATTTTTTATTAGTTTGTTTATGTACACATGTAAATTTGGTACTTTCTTCTGATTAGACCCTTAAGCTTGAGAGACATCGGTTGATGCAAGATTTCCTCTTTAAGGAAGACACTTATTAGTATACAAAATTAATACACAAATGTACCATGTCATCATTTATTTCGCTGTATAATGCCAGGTTTTTCTTTTCTTGGTCTAGATCATTCTGCGTCCGATCTTCATGTTCGTATGATGGGTTTTGCAGATGGTGTAAAACTCGATTTTTTCTGGAACGATGAATTCAAATATAGAAAGAAAAACCGTGCATTTAATATGTTGAAAAAATATTACAGTCTATTCGGATATTCAAAAACCACGGTATGAAAACCGATGATAGATTAATGTTACAAAGTATATCGCTTGACACATGTATAAATCTACCAGAAAAGAAAATCACATATGCATGCTATTAATTGTTCATGTTCGTGAAAAACATTACGAACAAAATTTCTAGCATAAAGACATCAACAAACAAACTTTATTTTTAAAATTTCAAATTTCATTTAAGACATGTTGTACGTTTGTTTTAAACATATCTTATTGTATAATTTATACAAAGAGATTGGTTACAAGTTCTACAACTAAAAAAAGCCTTTCCTTTCCCTGATTGTACATATACGTTTAAATGCCACAAAGGGTAAAAAAAATGATAACTGAAGCTAAACACTGTCAAATAAAGACATAAATAGAGCATTGGAGGAATAAATTCCATTAGTCTTCTGTGAAAGTGTATACTAGTATTTCTTCTTTTTAATTTCAAATTCAAAAAAAAAATAGCTCGGTAAACAGCGTTAAATGACAGAAGAGCGTGATATGCCAGTTGGGAACTGCATGTTTTTTTCTTGAAAATATTTGATCAAATACAAACAATTAAAAGAACAATTTCTAAATTGAAGAAATTAAAAAAAAAAAAAACATGTTACAACGGAACGCTCGCAAACTTACTCCTCTTGGAAAAATGACTGTAATAAAAACTTTACTAATTCGTAAGTTAAATCATCATGTCCTTTCTTTACCAAATCCTAATGATGATGTCATGAGTGATTTTAAAAAAAAGACTTGTATAATTTCCCTTGGAATAATAAAACTCAACAAGAGGCCCATGGGCCACATCGCTCACCTGAGCACTGTGGCTAGGAAAAAGCAGAATTGGTTTATACTTGAAAAGCTTTAATCCAAAACTAGTCCCAAGACCAATCATGGCTTTGCTATTCTTGAGAAGAAGATTTTTAAAGAATTTTCCTATACATTTCTATGTAAAACTTTGGTCGGCCATTTTGGCCCCGCCCTACCCCTGGGGGTCATGATTTGAACAAACTTGAATCTACACTACCTGAGGCTGCTTCAATATAAAATATGATCAATTATGGCTTTGCTATTCTTGAGAAGAAGACTTTTAAAGAATTTTCCTATATATTTCTATGTAAAACTTTGGTCGGCCATTTTGCCCCTCCCTACCCCTGGGGGTCATGATTTGAACAAACTTGAATCTACACTACCTGAGGCTGCTTCCATATAAATATGATCAATTATGGCTTTGCTATTCTTGAGAAGAAGACTTTTAAAGAATTTTCCTATATATTTCTATGTAAAACTTTGGTCGGCCATTTTGGCCCCGCCCTACCCCTGGGGGTCATGATTTGAACAAACTTGAATCTACACTACCTGAGGCTGCTTCCATATAAATATGATCAATTATGGCTTTGTTGTTCTTGAGGAGAAGATTTTTAAAGAAATCTCCTATATATTTCTATGTAAAACTTTGGTCGGCTATTTTGGCCCCCTCCTACCCCCTGGGGTCATGATTTGAGCAAACTTGAATCTACACTACCTGAGGATGTTTCCCTATAAGTTTCATCTTTCCTGGCACAGTGGTTCTTGAGAAGAAGATTTTTAAAACATGCCACAAAATTTTCATTAATTCCAAATTATCTACCCTTGAATGAGGGCGTGGCCCTTCATTTGAACAAACTTGAATCCCCTTCACCCAAGGATACTTTGTGGCAAGTTTGGTTGAAATTGGCACAGAGGTTCTTGAGAAGAAGTAGAAAATGTGAAAAGTTTACAGACAGACGGACAGACAGACAGACAGACGAACAGACAGACGAACAGACAGACGGACAGACTGACGCCGGACAAAATATGATCAGAGAAGCTCACTTGAGCCTTCGGCTCAGTTGAGCTAAAAAGTTAAGAAAAAGGTAACGGTTCAAGAACTTAGATTTATGGGGCTTAAATATGATAGATTATTAAAATTTTTTTTACATCATTGAAATCTAGTTGGATAAGGCGGGTAATGTGCTCAAGTACAAAATGGGTTTTATTTCTTGAAGCTGAAGCAGAATTAGAAATAAGTACAAGTCATCTTTGGCTGTTTGGAATCTGAGTAATGTTCCATGAAAAATAAGTTTAGGAAAGATGTATTGGTCAGCTGGTGTAATGTAAATCAGGCTAAAGCTATAGCTGATTTAAGTCCTCTCCAAGAACAAATAAGGCATAATCCAGTTACCAATGGTGGCCAGCCAATTTTCATCAAAAGTTACTTTAATTCGGGCTTAGTTTTTATGAAATATTTCTTAGATTTAAATGGAAACTTTTACAATTTTGATTTCATTCAAAATGACATGAAGGTAAATACAAACTATGTTGAATATGCAGGACTAAGAAAGGCAATTCGAAAGAGACAATCCTGTTTTAAGAATTATAAAATAAAGCCAACTCCTAGACCACTGATCAAGCCTTGGAATTTTCTTAAAAAGTAAAAAAGGGTGTAAAGATATGTATAATGTTCTCATTAAGAAAAAAAGGGCAATATAATTTCAGTTATATAATGGAGTGAAAATGGTGAAGAATTTAGTGAAAATACTGTGGAAAAAGTTTTGAGCTACCTTTCAAAACAACCCAAGAATCAAAACTTCAATGGTTACAATTCCAAATCTTACATAGAATAATTCCTGCTAAATGCCATATTTTCAAATCAAGATATTGATTCATAATTCTGCTCCTTCTGTGAGAAGGATATTGAAACTATTGAGCACCTTTTTGTTGAATGTTCTGTTGTAAAAAGAAGTTTGGTAAGAAATTGAGGAAGGCACTTTAATTCCACTTCTAAAATTTCTAGGGGTTCATTTAAGAAATGAATTTAATTTTTGAAGATGCTTCATGATAAATATGACGGTGTGAAGCGTGGTAGTTCATATACCTCATGAATTTTCAAAAATTAAATTCATTTCTCATATTTACATAACTTTTCTGATGACTTGCCAAAAATTTACGCCGTTCGACTGTCATTTTTAAAACAAAACAGTGTGCACTATATTTTTGACTTTTTGACGTCAAGAGCGGTATTATGACGTAACAATGGAGATATTCATGCTTATTCGTGATACATACGTAATGTAGTTCATGAGAAAATATACTGCATTTTATTTTGTAAAGAATCATAGGGGAAATTTATTGGAAATGTAAATATATCCATATGTGCTCTTTACATAATTGAATTGTTTATAGAATTTTTTCTGATCGATGTTTGATATCTTTACCTCTTAGATTATTTCTTAATCTTCACACCAATTGTCCTTAATTTCAAGTATGTGGAAATGACAAAATCGTGACGCCATAGTGCATTGGCTGGTAAAAAATGAAGCCATCTTCAAAAGATGCAGTCATATAAGGTTGCAAGTGATATTTGCCATCTAAAACTAATAGATTCAGTTTTAATTATCGAGATTCACATCGCCAAAGAAAGCTAATTTCTCAAGTGCTTCTAATGGTTGTAAAATATTTTGACTGCATTAAAAAATGTCTTCTGTTGGTAAACAAGGCATTTAATTGATAACATACGCCTATAGCATGACAGTGTTGTGCATATAAAACACTGACAAAAGATTTAAAATTGATCGGATAATGATGATAAACTCACAACGTAAGATAATTGTACTTGATATCATAGAACAGGTAAAGTCACTTTTTAAAGCAATATGAGCTGCATGTTTTACAACAGAAAAAAGTGTTGCATATTTGTAATTAACTATTTCAATGACAGAAAAATATAACATTTATAAACTGCTGTTGTTCATATTTGCTATAAAAGAACTTTTTATACGCTTTGATTGAAGCAAAATTAAATTAAATTATTGTCGTCCTGTACAATAATGATTTCTTATATAATACTGCATATTCGGTTGTACAGAAATATTTTTTCTGCTACATTTCTAAACTTTATTTTGTTTTTATTGATCATAAGGGTTTAAATTACACACAAATTAATCATAAAAACACATTTTACCAGCAAAAATAAATTTCAAAAATGCAGCTCATATTGCTTTAAGTGTAATGAAGGTATGGGAAAATTAGTTTGAGCCATTTGATTGATTGATTGATTGCATACTGTTTAACGTCCCTCTCCAAAATATTTTACTGATATGGAGACGTCAACATTGCCGGTGAAGGGCTGCAAATTTAGCCCTATGCTCGGCACTTACGGCCTTTGAGCAGGGAGGGATCTTTATCGTGCCACACCTGCTGTGACACGGGGCCACGGTTTATACGGTCTCATCCGAAAGACCGTTCCATTTAGTCGTCTTTTACGACAAGCAAGGGGACTGAGGACCTATTCTAACTCGGATCCCCACGGGACTTGAGTCATTTGAAGATATTACAATGAAGATATCGGCAAAAACGACTCTTGTAAGCGATACAGCAGTCTAGCATTATACATATATCACATGGCTTCAAGGGTGACATTATACAATTATTGACTTTTGATGAAGTCTACTCGTGACTATACAGACCTGGTAAGGTATTGGTTGACCGAGGCCGAAGGCCGAGGTTAACCAATACCTTACCAGGTCTGTATAGTCACGAGTAGACCGAATTCAAACGTCAATAACCGTTTTATTAAATGATGAGGAATTTTACAACACTGCTGACTCTTTCATGCTTGTCTCCATCAAATATAAACATCCATAATGTAAAGTGTAATTACACTTTTTACATGTTGATATACTTCAATAGCTAAACAAATATTAGTTAAAAAGTTAAAAACAATATTAATAAACAATAAATACTCAACCATTTACTTTCAAAAGTTCGTAATCTCCTTGGTAATGGCGTCTGACATGTTTACATTCAAACCGACACATGCTTTGAAACACGCAATCTGATTGGTCGAAAAAGCTGTAAGCAAATCTATGGTTGGTCGAGAGGGAAAACCCGAAGAAACCTCCCAGAACGTCATTTGAGGTGAACTCACTCTGAGGTACACACCAGTAAATGGCGTCTAGACCAATCAGAGAGCACCAAAATTCCTTATCATTCAATAAACCAGAATATTTGCCCCGAGGTAACAGGAAAGCCCTGGAATGTTATGTCACCTGATGCCAAAGGGCAAATATTCTGGTATAGTCTCCCGAGACGCCATGTGGTATATGTTATATGACATTTTAAAAATTAAACGAAAATTTAAAATTATTCAAAATTGTTAAAATGTACACAAATAATCCAAAAATGCATTCTTGACGTTAAGAAATACGCTGTGTTGTTTACTTTTGCTTAGCAACCGACGTCATAAAATCTCGAACCCGAACTAAAATGCGTAACGTAAAAACACGTGAACGTGATCGAAATAGTGACATAACTGTTTCCGGCGAGGGTTGACATAACTGTTTCCGGCCGGACATAACTGTTTCCGGTGTGACTCGGCATTTTTCAGGGTTTATAGCGAAACTTATTACATTTGTGATATAATAGGAAAACTTATTCAAAAATGTTATATTATTATATGTTTCAAATGCAATGAAGCACATTCATATGTCGGTAATTTAAGGTTTCTTTTGTATATTACAACACTTTTGGCACCTTTACCTTCCTGAACTTGCAAGATTTTACATCTTAAATGAAACTTAGGATGTAGAGCATAATCCACTACAAAAACCTTTTGCATTTTTCAGTCTTTTTTTGGCAATTCAAGTTTAGGAATCTGACTGGCAGATTCATATCTCCTCACATAATTGACAATTTCTCTGTAAGAAACACAGCGTCACTGTATGCATTATAGTCCCTTTTTTTAAAGTCAGGAACTTGTTTATCCTATCTCTTTTTGACCAACTCAAAACAACTTAGTCTGTTTCATTTATTATCCATATGCAAGCCACTTTCCCTAAAAATTTCATATCAACTGTACTATTTAACGAAAGATTTCTACATGTAAGTGTGATGCACCCTTTTGGTTGAACTGTCCGTAAGTTGAGACATAAAAAGACTGAACAAAGAATGAATACAGTTGCAGAAAATTTATTTCATGGATTTTCAGACAATAAGATGTGACCGACAAAGAAATAATTAAGATGGTGGCGATTCTTACCTTCTTAATTTTTAGATGATATGGGTAAATATTTATATTATGTATTTTTTTAAAATTGTAATGTCAAGTACATATGATGCAATCAGATAAAAAAAAGTATACAAACTGTCATTTCATTAATCAGCACATGTAATGTTTAATCTATGCGTTCAGAAAAAAAGATAAAAATCATCTCAAAAATATAGTTTGCCATTCAGTGTGAATAAAATGATATCTATAGGAGTTAGGGTATTTTGGTTTCGGTCTGATTAATATCATAAACGATTGGAATGTAAATCACTTGATGTAAGATTTTTGGGGTTTTCCGTTTGCCTTTTACCGTTTTTAGTTTTGAATCATACGAAATTTTTGAAGAGTAACGATTGTAAAAAGAGGAAAATTGATATAAAGTTACCTTTTTTGTCCTCTCTTTTCCCTCATTCGAATACATAAGAAACCAAAAGTTGTGATGAGTGATCCACACAAAATGCCACCAATGACAGAGGAGACAATGATTACACTTAAGGAATCACCTTGATGAGTAAAAAAAAATTGCATTTTAAAATTGAGCGAGGATTAATTGGGTGATAAATGTATTCTGAGTTGGTGCATTTTGTTTTTACAGATTAACTTCGTTTCTTTATTTAAATGAAAGAGACGGTGCAAAAACAAAAATATTATTAACAAAATTAAAATTACCTTTCTTTTCGCCAGTAAACGGTAAAATATCAGAAATATTCTCAGCTGAAAGAACAATGTCTTCATTATTGAAAGAACACATGTTAATCAAAATGTTTACCTTCTTTTTGTTGATTCTCTCTCTCTCTCTCTCTCTTAATTTGGATTGAAAAATTATTTGCTTTTTAAAGCTGTTTGATAGTTCAAGACTACAAAACACTGATGTTTTATGTAGTTTTGTCGTTTGTTAAATCCCAAACAGCAAGAAATTAACAGTTTAATGAATACAATGCACTTGTCAATCTGAGGTCATATCGCAAGTGAAGAACTGATCAATTTCATCTTATGAGAAATTAGGAAAATGTATTTTGTAATTAAAAAAACATATTTGCAGAGATACAGGATGCTATCAACTTGAATGCAATGTCAACTTAAACTTTTTTTTCATAAGCTTCCGTACATTTCGTATGTAGTAAAATAATATTTTCAAATATATATTTGAATGCAGATTCATAGGAGGGTAAATGAAGGTTCCAATTCTTTCTGGCATAATCTCAGGGAGCATTAAGAAACAATGTACTGTGAACTCACTTATTGTTGTGGGAGTATAATCTTCGCTGTTTTCGGGGGAAGGAGAGACCCATATATTCATATCAACCATGAAAATGTAAAATTTCATAGGTATTAGATATTGTTACTTCAAACCTCGAAAATTTGACCCCACAAAATACTTGATTTTACAGTAAAATTCTACGAACCTTGTGTAGTCTTACAATTAAATAAGACATCTCTATTTACTGAAGTTTCTTCTCATCTCACAAAACTGATTATTTTCGTTCCAATCGGTGTAAAACAAAACCCTTTCTTATTTGCCAACCTTTTAATAGCAGAGTTGTTGATGGGCGGAGTTAAATCAAAGAAGCACAGAAACCCAAGATACGAGGGTTGTCCAAAAAATTTGTGTAAAAATGCTTAACTTGCTATATAAAATCCACAACGATTTGTACGATAGTATTTTATAATAAACCATTATTGAGTCAATATATACTGACACGCAAAAGAAACGCAACACCCTACTTTAGGGGGAAATAATTATGTAAAGTAAAGAAATTTGTATCATAAAATTATGAATATCTTCAATTTGGTTAACATCAGTAAATTAACGGTTGAACGATTTCCAAACCATAACCGGAAGTCAAGTTTTAGTCTGCTTTACAGAAATCAAAAATTGCATGTTTAACAAAACATTTGGCAGTATTATGGAGGTTTAAGGGTTTTGTACTGTTCGTTATAAGTAATGCAGAAATATTTCAAAAAATAAACTTTACTTTCGTTTCCCGAAAAAATGCTAAGGCTACTTGAAAATGGCTTATGTACGCATTTCAATTGCTCTAGCTGGAAAATTTCAATGTAAAGGTGATGGAGAGTTGCTGATGCGAAATTTCACTACATTGCGCTTCAACAGGGTCTTACGTATCATATGCATTAAGGACAGTCCTTGTATCAGAAGTCCAAGGGTGACTTCAGTGCTCTAAGTTAGAGAAAATTCGACCTAATTAATTGACAAACGGACATTTAAAAATGTCAAAGAATAATTCCTTCGCGAAGATCTCGATATTATGAACCTATTGTATCTTAGAAATTAAGCTGCAATTGTTGTTTAGGGCAGTTTTGCAAGTTTTACTTGAATGGCTGGGAGGGGGTGTTTTAACAGTCATATTTTAATTAGTAAAGTAAACAGATAAACATTTAACATTTTTATCAAATCTCTGATGTTCTACAAAGTGAATTTAGCCTTACTTTATTCGCTATTGAAAATCATAAGATAAAAAATCAAACATTTGTAAATTACTGCTTGTTGCGTTTCTTTTGCGTGTCAGTATACAAAAAAAAAAATAAAATAAAATAAAACAGTGCACATTATCTAATGAACATTATAGCTGTAAATATTTTGTATAATTAAGCTGCACGGACTAATCTGATCTATCGCTTATTACATGATGAAGTCCAAAATATGGATTTTGAATTTTTATCGCATGTTCATGGACACGTGCTATTTTTCTTTATAATGCCACACTGTCAAGTGAGTGCAATTTATGAATAGAAAATAATCTATTTAGATTTTAAAATTCTAAACAATACACAATACAAGTTTACGAGCACATCGTATACACAGGCTGCAAAGATCTGTCCCACTGGGCTAGATTTATAACAACATCATGCATAGGAATATCCAATCTTTATCAAATCACAGTGGTTTTGTACTTCTTGTAGTGTCTCTGAAATTTTACACACCGTTGAAAAAAATCTTTTACACCAATTACAAATTACTGAACTAAATATATTCCAATAAATTCATGCTGTTTTAATACATATTTTGTTTTTTAGACGTTTCAATCATATTAAAGCATAATTGTATGATTGATGTTATCCTGTTAGGATGGCAGACGTCGCTTTTTCTGTCAATTTTTCAAACATACTTTTTGCGGTTTTCGCTTAATATTTTCAATGTCAATATAGTAACCAATACAAATGTTTCAGAAAATTGCGATAACCGATTTATTTGTAATATGTTTAATTTTCAATCAGCTTTGATGCATTTAATGAAGAAAATAATAATTTCAATCTGGTCACTTTATTAAAAGGTTTATGGCATTTAAATTACCTCGGTCCTTGCGCACTATCGGCGACCTTTAATGACAGTTATTTTTTGCAAAAAAATCATTTCTAACTATACAAGACAAACTATTCAGATTTGGATTTTCAAATATAATATTTTGGTATACAATACGCATGTCTTGAACCATTCATTCATTTCATTTCACTTTTAAAAACGCCATTGTCCACGAACTTTTTGGACAACCCTTGTAAGTGTTACGACAGTTTGGCCCTAGCAGCTTGCATATACGAAGTATTTAAACTATAATGCTCATTTAAAAGTCCACGAACTTAACCCTCGTATTTGGTGCTCAAGAGAATTGGAAACTTATATTTAGATTTCTTGGTAATATATGCTTCATATATATCGAAGAAAAAGATTTCAAGAGATATATTCTAAAAGGATGAATCAACATGGGTTCACAGAATTTTTTGCAAAGAATTTAAGATATAATGTTTAAAAAGAATAAATATAATGAATCAAATTATGATTTTTAATTTGACTATGACCATACGATATTGAAATTTATAGATGAGATAAAACTGCAAGTAAATCTATTAAAATCATGTGACTCCCACATCACGTGAAAAGAACAATTTTCTTAATTTGGAAATTGTCGATTTACCAATTTGGCATCTTAACTACATGCATATTGCGTTGTAAAATTTAAATTAAAGTAGATAAATATCGCACACAGGCATGCAAAGCAATAAAAAACACCTTAGGCGACAAATCACCAAAACTAGTTTGATGTCGATGGAGAGTATTAATGGTTATATGATTCAGGAACAATTTTGTCAAAAGAAAAAGGAATAAACTTGTGGACCATGAAAGTCTCAGCTCCATTAAATCAAAATTTATGAACAAATTTAAAGTTTCTGCATACAAACAAACAGACAGAAATACATGACAAAAACTATACATCCCGAAACTACGATTACAGGGGCATAAAAATTTAAATTCATGGAAAGGGTTTCATCACAGTAAAGACGCACGTGCAGCATGAAAGTCCTAATACGAGGGTTGATCCAAAAGTAATGTCACTGTGTCAATATCTTTAATATTTGGCGTCATATTATCAAAAATAGTATACCAAAAGATGCATGAAAATAATTCTAATCAAAATTGAAAATTTCATTCAATAATATTTACTTGAATTAATTTTATAGACGTTTAAAATATTACACATAAGGGGTGTCGCCGCGTCACAACTAAACGTCAAGATTTAAATTGTGAAATTGTTAGAATGAAAAAAGACATAATATAAAAAGCATCTAAAAAACATCTAAGCTTCCAATATTTTAAAAGACAAAATTTTACGACATTTTCTAGTCTTAAGTTGAAAATAAAATGACGTCATTGCTTTTTGATCATAAACATAGTTGTTTTAATCTGCTGGAATGAACACTAGAAATTTCTAAAATGAAGAAAAACCGCTGAAACGATCTGTAATGCGTTTTTGCTTCAAGATTGGGAGATCGCCCATAGAAACAGTTACGATGATAATCAGATACACAGAGGATTGAATGTGAATGAGAGACTTGTTTATAGATGGTTTTCGCGATTTTTAGCTGGTCATGGGTCACTGAATGATCAGCAGAGGACAGAAAGACCGAAAAAGGGAGGTCGGGGGCAAACGTTCTTGAAATGGTGTCTGACTTCTAAAAAGAGAGACGATTAGAGCGATATGAGAAACTTTAAGTTTTTCTTATGGTACTGTTCAAAAATTTTTGATAGATAACTAAATTATATATAGACTGAGTTTACAATGGTAGCCAATAATTCTTTTAAAAAGAGAAACATATGTGAATGTGTCCATGAATCTCAAATATTTTTAATGAAACGAAGGGGAAGCGTTTAAGTGTATGACGCCGCGTATCCACCATAATTATGACGTTATTTTGGTGCGGCGACTACCATAATTGCACTTTATATATAATGCGATATTTTGAAAAGTATACATCATTTTAATTTGAATATCACAGGACTGATTAACAATATATATAGCTTCGATCATGTGTAATTTCGTTAATTTACGTCGACTAGAAGCATTTTTATCGAAGTTGTGACATTACTTTTGGATCAACCCTCATACCAAGTGTTCAAAAGTAATTGCCAAAGTTCTACTTGGGTAAGTTAATTTTCGCCAAATTAAGTGGCCTTGTCACAAGAAATAAAGATTTATACTGAGGACGTCTTTAATTTCAAGTGTCTAAAATTTCACGGTTTGTTAGAAAGTTACCTTTCACTGTGGTTTTAATTTCATAGTTGATCGTTTATAAATATTCAGGTACTAAGTCTGTTTTTCGCCATAACTGAAGTGAAATAATTATCACAATGGCTTATAATTCGCTGAATGTTTTTTTTTTAAATCGTGAACGTAGAGAAATTAAAAGCACTGTCTTGTATTCACTTCTACAGTAATATGAGAACAATTGCTCCATGAACTTATGAACTTCATATTATGTTACAGTTTTTTTTTTCGGACAAACAGATAAAGAAAAAGGGACAGACGATAGACAAGGCAAATCATAATACCCCCATCTCTTTTACTACTGGGGCAAAATGGTACCAATTCTATATATGCTTTAGAATAATTAAAAGCTCTTCAAATAAAAACCTAAAACCTCTTATTTCTACGTTGGTGCAATTCTGGCACACAGATGAGCCCTTCAAAGATGTACAACCTGTAATAACAAGTTGACATCAATAAATTTAAGTCTGGGTAAAAAAAGAAAAATTCAATTAATGCTTCAGACATTTCTAATCTTTGTACTCACCGGTACATTCATAATGGTAATCTGTTATCTGCTTGAAAATACATTGTTTACAGAAGACAAAAAGGATCACAAAGAGTTTCCTTCCTGTTTAATATAAATAAAAAAAGAAAAAAGTATTGAAAGAACTGAAAGCCGGGCTCTAATTGCTCCAGTATTTATCGTATCCAAAATTAGTACATATTTATTTTTTTTCCTTTTGGCAATTGATTTTTAACAGGTAGAGTTTCTGTAATAATGATTTAAAACAATATCCTATATACCAGTAATTAAAATTAACAGTCCAGACCCCAAGATGTGCTATGATCTTAAAATCAAATAAAACATATTTCGAAGAAATTCTTGCATATCTTCTATTCAATCAGCATTTTTTCTCATAATTCAAAAATTCAGTCTTCGAATAATTAAAATAATGCAGAGGTGTTTTATAGACATTCTTTTAGTTTCCAACAAACAATACTTTTATCGCCAACTACATGTAGAAACACTGATACATGTACATTGTCAAGCGATTTCAAGCATGTTAATTTTTAAAATTCCAAATTACTATGCTATTAATTTGCAAAAAAATAAAACAGAGTCTCATCACTAACATGACATCCAATCGACGAAAACTATATGAAACATGAAACTCTTCAACAATTTCAACATTTCGAAAAGCCCGCGCTATTGAAAAAAGTTCGCTTACAATATGCATTCAACAGCGTATGTGCACAAATTGTTATATCACGATTATCCTTATAATGCGAATATCTAATTTCTCTTTCAGTTTAATTCTCGAGCAAAAATATTGATCATTTTCTTTTCCAATGATTGGGTTGCTATAAGTATTTATTTGTCTCGTAATGGGAGTACTATTTTGTTTATCGGAAGCTACTGCTTTGACGCTGTTTGGTGTTTTTAAATCAGCTTTTTATAGTAAGACTGTCGAACATGATGCCTATAGCCAGGACTTTCCTTTCAGCATAGTCCGGCTAATAAATTATATATATTACAAAATACAGTGAAACATTATTTTGGCGATTTCATTTAAAATCATCAGTTTTTTTGCAAAAAAGTTTTCTAAAAAACTAATGCATAGTATTACATGTACATGTATGTATCGTTTTGTAAGATATACAGCGGAACATTTCATGGTCATGATCACTATGACGTTATGCTATTTTTTTTTTTATTTAGTTTTTTTTTTTTTTTTTTGAAAATCGAACAAAGATAGAAAGTTTTTGTTTTACATTTTCTTCGAATATCAACAGAAATATTCTTTTAATGGTAAGAAAAGTACATTGTCGGATTCCGTTTAATTTATCTCTTTTCTAACCTTTTTTTAATTTGCTTATTGATGTCAGACATTCGAGCCATCAGTGTGTTGCTTCTTTCTCCTATCTAAATTCATTACATCCCGTGCATGTAAAAACAGAGATAACACTTCTTGTATCGAAACACATATTTGCATTGACATAGACATGTCCATTGCATTGAAAATCTAGTCGCATATCCTATCGCAATATCCTTTTAGATAATGTGTCCCAGGTCATTACATTTCGTATTGAAAAAATCATTTACTTAAATCAGATTCAAAAAGTACATGTATCCTTTAATTTTTTATTTTTGAGCTGGTTTTTAACATTTGATTCATTTGTTTACTGCATATGTGTTTTTATCTTCCTTTGTATTCTATTTGATTGTTATACGACTGATGTTTATTTTTCTACTTTCACTGGTTATTGGTATGAAGAAAGAATATAATTTCCTCTTCCTAGTTAAAAAAAATGCACTATCTCAAAAGTATAACCTTTATATAAATCAAAAAGTTTCAATTTGTGTTTACGGTGTTTTAGATATCTTAACTACCCTAGTCGATTTTTTCTTATATTTACCTCACAAACTATAGTGCGGACTCTTCTTATAATAGTCTAGAATGTATGCCCTTTGGGTATGATGTGGATGAAATGAACTGAAGCTAAATAGATAGTTTTCAATGAACCTAAATTTAGCAAAAGTTACCTCCCGTTGGCCGCCATATTTGAGGTCGACTCGGTCAGTTTTCCTCTTTGTCTTACCAAATTTAAGAAAATATAGCAGAAATTAATCGTGGAAAATATTTATCAATTTTTTTTAATAGAGGAGGCTTCCAAAATTTATATACTTCAATAAAATAATGATTCCGATTCAAATTAACAAATATTAAAATTTAAAGTTAAACAATGAAGGAATATGAACATTTGTACCTCCAGTATGGCGGCCAACGGGAAGTAACTCTTGCTAAATTAAGGCCCATCACAAACTATCTATACTGAAGAATATCTATGACCCTATATTTATCACAATCAACCATCCAGCTAATGTTTGGTTTGTTTTTCCCTTTTTTCAATAACATCAGGAAAAAGGTTTTTATAACATTGTAGAACCAATGTACTTCTTCTCTGTGCTATTCATTTGCTATTAATCCTCGATCACGTACATGTACATGTTCGATGAATGTTGACAATTGTAAGACAATTCCAATGAATTCAAATTGGAATACATGGCAGAAATATTTCACACAAATTGTTATTGTCATTTTTTTGTCAGTTGAAAAAAAAACTTTTGGGTAATAATGACAAATAAATATCGTAACGGAAAAACGTAGTATATTCTTGAAAGAGCCCTTTAATTATGCTCTTGAAGGTGCATGGACACATATTTGAAGTTAATATATTCTGTATAATAGTATGACATATATTTTGATAGCGTTTCACACAAAAATATATTTCAAAAATCATTTCTTTTAAAAGTTATTAAAATTTTTTAGACGCGTTTGATTGACACATCCTTGCACTTTCAAAAATTTTAATTTTATTCTAAATAATTAGGAAAAGTGACAATCTTCTTGTGTATAAATGAAAAACATCAAAATTTCTTTCGAACATTTTTTCTCTGAATTTTCTGGATTAAAGTCTTAATATTTTTCATTAATACACAACAAGCTTGCCACTTTTCCCAAGTATTAAGAATAAATGTAGAATTTGTGAGAGTACAAGGATGTGTCAATCAAACCCACCAAGTTTCAATAACGTTAAGATGAAATAAAATTTTAATATATTTTTGTGTGAAATACTATTAAAAGATATAATTCGTGATATTATACAGTATACAATTATTTAATGCCTGAGCAGTCAATAGACCAGAATATTTTTCCCGAGGTGCAGGGAACAGCTCAGTGTGTTCTATTGCCCGAGGCCGCTAGCCACTGCGCTGTTCCCTGCACCACGGGGAAAATGTTCTGGTCTATTGACTGTTCAGGCATTCAATAATTGTTTTATTACCTAATTTTATTTTCCGTATTAAGTGTTCACAATTGTATATTCTGTACAGAAGGTTACCATACCATATTGTAAATTTATACCTAAATATGGTGCATATGTAATAATAATTAAAGATTGATAGTATAGAGTATTTTTTAAATTCCCCTCGAAATTTTTTTTACTCATACGGAGACGCCACCACTTGTCGGTGGAAAGGGACCTTTTTCGTGCCAGCACTGCAGCAGTGCACTAACTGCGACATGCACGGGACCTCGGTTGATAGTAAGGCTAGGCAATAATATCGATATTTCAATATATTGCAATACAATGGAAAAAAAATATTGTATCGCAATACGATTTTGTAATATCGATATATTGGTAATATGCTTAGATGAAGGAATTTTGTCATTAAAATGATTAAATATAAAAATGGACTTGTGAAAATTTGTTATTAAGCCAAACAGTAAGACAGAAGTTGTTTTATGGGAACATTTAAGAGCATAACTTAAAATTAAATCAACAAGATTTTTTTTCCCATGTTGGTTACTTATCATAGTTATGTAAATTATGCATGTAAATTTAAATAAATATAATAAGAAAATGCCATTTTTATTACATTGAAAATATTGCAATACATATCGCAATACAGTTAAAAATATCGCAGAATACAGCAATACAAAAATTCGGGCCAATACCCAGCCCTAGTTGATAGGTCTCACCCGAACGACCGGTCTCCACGTCCCACAGTGTATTAATTTAAAAAGTAATTCTCATTAAATAAAATATCCGACTATTAAAATCACACAATTTTTAAAACCAATGTCGAAAGATCGAATAAGATGATTGTTTACCATGCCTGTGCAGTGTCATAAACAACTTAATTTGAAACCCGGATCGTTTTTTTCCGAAATTTTACGGTCACTAATGTGCAGTCTTTGACCGGGCAATTAAAAGTTCTTGACCGGGCAAGTTTTAACATCAACAGTGAATACATTGGTTTGAAAAGATAAGAAAAACTGAAAACACATACAGAATAGATGAAAATATTAAATTTATAAAAAAAAAAACAAAAAAACAAAATTCATTGGATTAGGTAATAAAAAATATTAACAAATCTGAGTCCATGAACCTCTAAACACTAAGAAATGTTTTGTGAAATAACAAAAATACTGTCAGTATTAACCTATGCTATAAGACATAATACTTGGTGAAATCAAGGCCCTACTTTCGCCTTTAATTTGTAATCACAAAATAAGTTTAATTAGTTACATGTATACGTGTACACATTTACAGAAACTCATATTCAAGACTTACCTAATTTAGTTGCCATACTTCTTTCTTATCAGTGTTTAAACGAAAAACTTTTTGTATAAACGTATCATATAAGAAAAAAATGTCAAGAATATACAATGATTTCCTTGTTTGAAATATAGCGATAAAACTTGTTTCCTTGTATCATTTTAAGTATGTTATTCTTCTGTTTATATATTACGTAAACTGTACTTGGAAACATTTCAAATTGCCTTGGGAAAACATAACTTAACAAGAGGCCAAGGGGCCACATCGCTCACCTGAGCAATTGGATAGGAAAAAGCACATATATGAGATCAGATCTGAAAGTTTACTGAAGGGGGGGGGGGAAGGGGGTTTGAATTTTAACCCCCAGGGGTCATAATTTGAACAAACTAGAATCTACAATACCTGAGGATGATTCCCTATAAATATCACTAAGCATGGCTTTTAAGTACTTGAAAAGAAGATTTTAAAAGGTTTCCCTATATATTCCTATGTAAAACTTTGATCGGCCATTAGGCCCCACCCTACCCCCGGGGGTCATGATTTGAACAAACTTGAATCTATACTACCTGAGTATGATTCCACATGAGTTTCATCTTTCCTGGCCCTGTGGTTCTTGAGAAGAAGATTTTTAAAGATTTTTCCTATATATTTCTATGTTAAACTTTTATCGGCCATTTTGGCCCCACCCTACCCCTGGGGGTCATGATATAAACAAACTTGAATTTACTCTACCTGAGGATGATTCCAAGTGAGTTTCATCTTTCCTGGCCCAGTGGTTCTTGAGAAGAAGAGTTTTTAAAAATGCCATTAATTTTTCTCTAATTCCGAATTATCTCCCCTTGGAAAAGAGCGTGGCCCTTCATTTGAACAAAATTGAATCCCCTTTACTCAAGGATACTTTGTAGCAAGTTTGGTTGGGATCGGCCCAGTGGTTCTTGAGAAGAAGATGAAAATGTGAAAAGTTCACGACAACAACAACAACAACGACAGACGACGGACAAATTTTGATCAGAAGAGCTCACTTGAGCCTTCGGCTCAGGTGAGCTAAAAAGGTATAAGTAGGGAGATAAGAACAATACATGTATATACTTCCTACGATTTGTTAATACATATAAATATAATACACTCTTTCAATGATTAAGTAATTAAAGACGAGAGAAAGAGAAGACATGTTTTTTTTTATTGTTAACTGCCCTAGAAATAAACAACGTTATTCAGTGAACATGGCGTTATGAATAGCAATTGCTCTGTTGGCATATTCCATGCTGCGCTAACGCATCATGAAAATTTGCCAGCAGAGCTATTGTATTCATAATGCCATGTTCCCTGAATAATCGTTGTTTATTACTTATATTTGCATTCTTTGATATTTCCAAGAATATCAGAGGAATTCCTGACTTACATAAGGACGCGGCTTCTTGTCTTCAGTAATGAAAAACATACAGCTTTGAAATCAGTACACCTGACCAATGATCTTTTTCTCTAATAAATACAAACAAATTATAAAGTATTTCCCTCTCAAACACAGTTATCTGGATACAAGCAGCGCCGTCATCACATTCTCTTAAGCAGTTGTGACGTCATCGATCAACGTTATTGAAACACTCTGACAAAAATCAATAATTTAACCTTATGATGACAAATGAGAATGCTTTTATAATGATTATTACTCCAGAATGCGTTTCTATGATTTTTTAAAAAAGATTTTTATATTTATTTTTTAAAGCTGAAATCCTTCTTGAAGTATTTATACTAGTTAGAGAAATTTTCTCTATCTGTGTGTTATTACCCAAGTGTGAAGAGTAATCGTTCTTTGTACAAATATGCATGATACGAAAAATGAAAATATGGCAGTTCTCTACAATTTTTAAAAAGTTTTATTATACAATTAAATACATTGACAAAAAATGAATTTTTAAAGATATAAATCAGCAATTTTAAATATTTTGAATTTCTTCATTTTTTAAAAAAATATTATTAAAAACTTATATTTATTCCTTTTATGAAACATTTTATACATATACTTCTCAACACGTGATTGAAGTGTAGTAAAGCTTGTTTTGCACGATTGTGATAGAGCAATTGCAGTCATAACAGGAGCAGTTGCGTCTATAGTCCGGTGAACGCAGTTGATGACTACATGTTCATAATGTGAGATAGCAGTGGATATGCAAATATTTAGAAATATCCTACTATCACCTTCACCTAGTGTTTACATCTCCCATCTTCCTCTCAATAGCATATTATGTTCTCCGAGTACGACTAGCTTTTTAAGCAAGATCGAATTTTGACAAATAAATTGATTCTAAAAGGATTTCAACAAATAATTTTAAGGACCCTCTTTACACAAGTGCAAAATTTGTTTTGGACATTGAGAAAAATTTTGTGTATAAAGGAGTTAATACTGAGCTTATTTATTTAATTTTCACTGTATGGTGCGTGGCATTTACCCCGGGAAAAAATGTTCAAAGACAACACAGTATCACTGAATAGAAATCACCATTAATTACTTCTATAGAGAAAATACATGTAAATAACATGTTAAGTTAATTTACCTTTGCCTTTTTAAATGTTAAGAATACTAAAATTAATTACAAATTGAGTAGTTTATTGTAAATTTCTATTTTTTAGAATTTAGATCTAAGGGAAGATCACTCTAACTGCAGAAAAATACCTTAGAATCAGAACTCTTTAGTGTGCAGTGTAGAGAGGGTTCTTAAAGTCAGAAATTCGTAATTTTTATGGTCGTTTTGTTAGCAAATTTTATCTATACTTGGCCCGTACTTTGGCTGATTTTAAAAATCAACTGTTAGTTTATATACTGAGTACAAGAGAATGTTCCGACTATTGATCATTGCATAGGATTTACAACGAGTGTGACCGAGCAATGGTGAATGTACCAATAAACTTTCCTGGATTGTATATTTTGTGTTTCGTTAACAGATTAGAATTTTTTTTTTATATAATTTTTTTTAGATCTATAACAATTATCTTCATCTTTATCAAAAAATAATCTGTCTGTGACCTTCGTACATGTAAGCTGTAGGCTATATAGTGTTTATTCAATTAATAAATCTTCAGTTAATGCGCATGAAATATCAAGTGTCTCAAATTTAGTGTTTAATGTTATCGTTTTATACACCTCCTTCTGTTTTAATTCACAGTGTTCATGTAATTAGTTTGTGATCTGAGGATACCATCCTTGTTTATTGCATTTATGCAATCGTTCTCTTATAGTCTTATCCAGTGAGACTGCTACAAGATTACGTAACTTATTTACGAAAGTAAATCTAGAAAATATTAATAACGTTGAAACATGGTAAAAAAAATCAATGAAGTCAGTTGAAGTTTCTTTAAAATCTCCCTCTTCTCTGAAATTCATTCACTCCGTTTCAATTAATTGTAATTGAATTAGTTTTACTAGTATGTATTAACTAAACTTTGGTATCTCGGTATCTTGAACACATATATCTCAGATATCCTGAACATGACAAACTGATCTGGAGGCTTGTATACATTAATATTAGATAAAATTTGAAATCAATTTGATTTAATTGAATTTTATTTTTCACTTTCATGTTTGTAGCACTATAGGCATTTGTTACGCCTAGTTTCACCTTTAATTTTCCTGTCCCAGATGTATGTGTTATATGACCATGAGTCAACTTGCAACCGTCTAGCTACTAGTATATAGATAAAGAAATATATTTAAAAAAGGAATTTATTTTTAAACTCATATTAACTGTATATATATATATAAGTGTGACTGACGCCATGTTGTGATCAAAACAAATATTTAGGGTGGGATTGACATTTCGTGGCCATGAATTATAAATTCGATTCTTTTTTTCTATAATCATAATAACTATTCTGAATATACCTTTCTCGGCCATGAGGAGAGTAGCGTATCAGACACTCTAAGCTAGCTATGATGAGATGTGTACCTCTAGTATGTGTAAACAAAGGAGATTTGAAAAGAAAATTCCGAATATTTAGCTTGTAGCATTATCTATTGTAGCATTTTTGTGATTTCTGAATCAAGAGAAATGGAATAAGGATATGCATCTATTAGTTTTACTATTTTAAAATTTACAGTCTTGGTTGAGTTGAAGAACTGAGCAGCACGACCAATGCATGTTTAATCGCTTGGTATGTTTATCGTTATGTTTCTAGAGACATTTCTTAATTATCCAAGTTGATTGCACACTATACCTTGTGATTTATAATGTAGGTAATGGAGTAAACTCTTTTTGTAAAAAAAAAATGTTTAAGAATGTGGCTGTGCTATATTCATTTATGTACGAGGGTTTATCCAAAAGTAATGTCACAGTGTCCATATCTTTTATATTTCGTGTCATATTATCAAATATTATATACCAAAAGATGCACAAATAAAAATTAAATTCAATTTTATTTTTTCATTCAATTTTAACTGAATTTATTTTATAGATGTTTAAAACATATAAAATAGGGGGTGTCGCCGCTTCAAAACCAAACGTCACAAATTAAAGTGTATTTTTTTAGTATAAAAAAAACAAACACTTAAAAAGCATCTTTTATAAGCGCATAAACGCAAAATACTTTAAAAGACAAAAATTTACATCATTTTCTAGTCATAAATTGAAAAATATATGACATCACTGCTATTTTTTATGAAAAACATAGTTGATTTATTCCGATGCATTGAAAAAAGGAAATGTCAAAATGGACAAAAAAGCCAAAACAAACTATTATGCATTTTTGCTTCAAAATGGAGAAATCGCAAGTAGAGACAGTTACGTTAATTCACCAGACTTTCGGAGGAAAGAATGTAAATAAGAGACTTATTTAGATGGTTTCAGCGATTTTCGGTGGGTGATGGGTCATTAAATGCTCAGCAGATGACAAGAAAACCGAAAGATGGGAGGGCGGACGGAAATGTTCAATGGTCTGTGACGTTATCAAAAAGACAGACGGATAGTGCGATATGTGAAATTTTAAGTTGGTCTTTTACATGTACTGCTGTTCAATGAATTTAGACAGAAATAATTCTGAAAAGAGTGAGTGTACGATGGGTACTAAGGGTAAGAAAGTGAAATTTGTGAACGTGTTCGTGGATATCAAATCTCAAATATATTTTAATGAAAGAAGGGAA